GCAGGAGTGCGGGCCATTCCAGGTGGGGCGGACCCCAGCACTGAGAGGGATCTCGGTGCGGACAGTACCAAAGTGGTGCAAATTCCCCTGGACCCTCATGGCTTACTATTTTCGGGCAGTTCGGGCTGTTCAGTCCAAAGGAGGTGCATCGGCTTTGGCGTGGTTGGAGCAGCAGAATATCCAGGAGCGTGCTCATTGGGTTCAGTCCTTCAGGCAGTCCCAAAAGCATTTGGGGGTTATCGTCATCGTGAAAGAGACCATGCAATTGAGAGATGCCCACTGGATTTGTGAAACACCTGCATCAGTTGTCCCGCATGCTTTTCCACCAGCGCCCCCCCTGCCGAAACCGGAGAAAGGCAAGCCCGCATTGCCAGCAGGGGCACAGGAGCAGATTGCGGGACGCCCCGTGAAGTTCACCACGGCCTCAGGGGACAAGCTCTGCAAGGACTTCCAACATGGTAGGTGCCAGGCGGCCAATTGCAAGAAGGGGCTTCACAGGTGTGCCGTGTTGCTTCGCAATGGTCGGGTTTGCAACATGACCCATGGTGCCCACGCATGTCCGGTGAAGAAGACAAAGAGTTGAGGGGGCCCCGCTGAACCCACTGAGGTGATGGGGGCAGTTGGGGAACAGTATGAGTCACCTCAAACCAAGCCTAGGGCGGCCGACCTCTTTTGTGGGCCCAACATGCCAGTCGCGTGCGCCCTCAGGTTCTGCGGTTGGGACTGTTTGGGGGTCGATTGGTGTCTGGATAGCACTCATGACCTGTCTAGTCCCGCGTGCCAGGGATGGCTCGCTGAGGAACTGACTCGGACAGATTTCATATGTGCTGCCTTTGACTGTTCTACCAAGAGCCGGCCCGCGAAATCCCGAGAGTTTTTGCGGATGGGTCGGAGGCTCCACCGCCCCTCAGGTCAGAAGAGCATCCTCTAGGGCTACCGGGCCTCTCGAGCAGGGATGCTCGCAGAGTTAAGGTAGACAACGAAGCCTGTGCCTTTGTCCTGCAACAGATCCAACTTCACAGAGCCCGAGGCGGGGCATCAGTGAGAGAGAACCCACAAAACAGTTTGCACTGGTTTTTACCAACAGAACTGGACATGTGGAGCAAGGGCCATTGGCAGGACTTTGATTATGACGCCTGTGTTTTTCAAGGTGCTAGATGCAAACGGCAGAGGCTAAGGCACAACATAGAGGAAATCGACATGAAGGTGGCAGTCCAGTGCCGTCACATCCACTCCAAGGAGGAGTGGAAACCCTTCTTGGTGGATGGGAAGAGGCACTACCCGAGTCACGACGAGGCGGAGTACACAGCTGCTCTAGCTTACCACATTGCGGTGTCTGCTTCGTGGTGGGCAGCCAGAACAGGCAGAGCGCAGTTGCGTGTCCCCCGCTCTCCGCCAATCAGCTGTACGGGTGATCGCAGAGCATGGCTTGACTGGGATTCCCGTGCAACCAGACAGTGGTCCATGGTATCTACGGCAGTGCTGTTGGGCTTGGACCTCAGCAGCAGTTTTCCCTTAGCCATATACCACGGCGCCGGTCAGTGTCTGAATTTGACTTGGAGGAGCTTAAGCAGTCGGGTCTTCCGGAGGGGCACATCTATGTTGGTCCTGGACATCATTCGCACAGGCTGCCCAGCACACGCTGGAAAGCTAGATTCGTGCCAGGACAGCATGGATCACGCGAAGAGTGTTTTCTCTTGTACGTGCAGTGGCTCAAGACCTCAGAACTTCCCGGCAAACTGGAGGAACTCTACCACCAGACCCTAGTCTGCGACTGCGCGCCGCACCAGCTCTGCCATGCTGATGCTCTCATTGCAGAGGCTGCTACAACCACCATCCCACAGGTGCGCAAGGCACGAGGTGGTCTTCCCCGCGCAACAGGGCGCCGCTGGGTCTGTTTGGCAGGGATGCCAACAGCACAGTCCATGCCTTGGACGCCGGGAATGCACTTTGTCCAGGAGGAGGTGATTGCCGCGTTCCGGAAGCTGTATCCACCGCAGTTTACTGCGGGGCTGAAGGAATGGCCGCTGGTGGAGGACTTGCTCAATCAGCCACCCTTCACTATCTACAAGGATTGGAGACTAGGCAATGGGCTGCAAGTGGACGGGGAGCTAGGCCCCGCGTTTCTGGATCGGCAAGGCCTCTTTGCGAGCCGAGCGGGAGCTGGGCTACAGCAGGGAGCCATGGCGCATCGTGCGGCCCTGCCGCCAGTGGTCTCCTACGGTCTGGATCCGGACTTGCATTTCCAAGCAGCCATCACAGCAGCAGGCCAGACACTCCCCACGGAGCAACCCATTTGCCTTGACCACGACCTCCTGTTTGCAGCAGACTTCACCTGGGAGCATCGAGGCCGTCTGGAAGCAGCCGGAACCTAGGAGTGTTGAAGGAGCTGTCACGGAGATGGCAGGTGGTGACCAAGCACCTACGGCAATTCCAGCCTCCAGGGGTTGCTAGAGTCACCAAAACTAGGCATATTGCACTGGTAGCCCTGCTCCTCCTGATCATTTCATGGCCGGACCACATGTTCGCAGTCGACCTTGTGACAGGATTCCCGGCGGTTGCTTACGCTCCCCCGTGCGGGGCCTTTGCGCCCAGAGACATCGACCCTATCCACCTGCAATCCCTTTTTGCGGACGTGGACACCACCAACGCCGCTCTTCTATCCCGGCTCAGGCCAGGAGCGTTGGATGGCATCATGTTGGAGTCGGGGTTGAAGGATGCCAGCAAAGGGTTTGCAACAGAACCCCTCACATGGGAACAACTGCAGAGGCAAGTGCAGCGTCGGCCAGTGAGGCTGATCCCTCGTTTTCCTATCCCTCAAAGCACTGGCAAAGTGCGGCCAATTGATGATGCTGACAAGGGTGGCCAGAGCGAACTATCAGCTGATGCCAACCACCTAGAGTTTTGCTCGGCTCTCCGGCCGGCACAGCACGTTTGGGCGCTACAACAAGCTGCGGTCCTCCGAGGAGGCACCATCGCAGGCATTCCTGACCAATTACACAGTGCAGGGGAAGATTGGCCAGACGCATATCGCCTGGTGCCAATGATTCCCCAGCATGCGGAAGCATGTGTGGTGGTCTTTTGGCACCCGGAGTGGAACAGTCCAGCATTCCAGCTGTACAGTGGTATGCTCTTTGGGTTGCCAATTGCAGTCACTTCCTTCAACCGATGCAGCAGGCTGTGCGAGGCCCTGGTTCGTCGCTTCCTAGGTGTGCTCTTCTCCATGTACTTCGATGACTGCACCATGCAGGACTGGGCGAGCTCCAACGGCTCCGCTCAAGTGGCCGTGAAGGGATTCATGGCCGAGCTGGGTACTCCTTGGGCCGACGAGAAATCTCAGCCTTTTTCCAGTGAAGGCGACTTCCTGGGTCTGATGCATAACCTGGAGCACCTCACCACAAAGCAGACAGTAACCTTCTGGCCCCGAGACAGGTGATCCACTTCATCCAGGAAGCCAGGTCAGCAGGGATGCTGAAACCAGGCGCTGCTAGTAAGTTGTTTGGCTGCACCAATTTTTCCAGGAAGGGATTTTTGGGAAAGTTGGGAAAGCAGGGTTGGGGGCTCTCAAGGATAGACAGTATGAGCGGACGTCTGCGTTGACACCGGCACTGGAAAGCGCTTTCCAATTGCTTGAGTCAGTTTTGGCAGAACGTCCCAGACGCCTTTGGTCACTAGCCCCAGCCAACCCACGTAGGTTCGTAGTAGCCTCAGACGCTGCGTTGGAAACCCCCAGGCAGGGAACGGCAGGCTTCCTAGTGGTGCTCGATCCTGGGCTTGCTAGTGAAGCTAGGCTGGGGCATGTGGTTCATGTGCCCCAGACGTTGTACGACTCCTGGCGGGCAGATGGGTGGCACATAGCACAACTGGAACTGCTTATGGTACTTGCAGCCCTTTCCGTGTACCCCGAGCATTTCCGAGGAAGAACAGGACTCTGGTTCTTGGACAATGTCGCTGCTCTGATGGCCGTGGTGCGTGGCCGTTCAGATACCCCTGACCTTGATCAATTAGCCATGCTTACACATGCTGCGATGTTCGGGTTAGAGACGTCCATTTATTTTGAGTGGATTCAATCCAAAAGCAACTGGAGTGACGCCATTTCAAGACTTGGAGCGGATGACCCATGGTCCCAACTCAATCAGTTTTACGTACAGCAGAGCTTCTTCAGACAGGAACTATGTTTACTCCCCATGCGAGCATGTATCAAAGTGTTTAGTTTCATGTGAAGTGCATTGGGTGGAGCGCAGAAAAGACCGGTCGTCTTGCGTGTGTGAAAGTGCGTTGGGCTAAAAGCTGGGGGTCCAGCTGGATACTGCTGCACCTCAGTAGCATAGCTGAGGGCAGTCAGTGACCAATGCATTAACATTCATACACAGCTGACATGCTTTTGCCTGGGGGAAAAGTGTGTGTCGGTCTCGCGCTTTATGTTTCCTCTGAATGTGTTCCATGTTAGTGCTTGGCAGGCCTTGGGTGACATGGCATCATTCAGGGAACATGTAAGCTTGAGTCAAAATGTGCTCGGTGTATGGGGGCCATTTTGGCTCAAGCTGAGCCAAAACAGCTTTCTTTCCCACCCACCCAACCCTGGGGCGAGTCGCCTAAAAGGCCTTCTCGTCATTGGGGTGTGGCAGGCCACGGTCCATGCATCAGTTGGAATGCTGATGAATAGGGACGCGGGGCGGCTGCCACTTCCAGCTGCACCCCATCTCCTTTCTAGTGTCAGGCCCTCTTGCGATTCAGGTGCTGTGCCCGTTTGGGGAGAGGCCTGGGCTAAAAGCTGGGGGTCCAGCTGGATACTGCTGCACCTCAGTAGCATAGCTGAGGGCAGTCAGTGACCAATGCATTAACATTCATACACAGCTGACATGCTTTTGCCTGGGGGAAAAGTGTGTGTCGGTCTCGCGCTTTATGTTTCCTCTGAATGTATATATATATATATCTATATATATATATACACTAAAAACAAGCTATCCCAATTTGACCTCGAGCCGAAGTTCGTCCAGGCGGAGGCGGCGAGCGCCTTCCCGAGGGACCGCTGGGCCGGGGACGCGGGGCCGGTGCTCAGGCACGGTGTCTTCGCCTGTCTTTTTTCTTCTTGATTTGTGTTTCTCGTGTTTTCATATATATATATATATTTTTTAAATAAATATGGTAAAAAAACACAACTTGTTTTTTGAACTGTTTTCTTTTGTGATGCCTTTTTTCATGTTTTTTTTTTTTTTTTGTGGCGCTGGCTGTCGAAGGTTCTGGGAACGGAATCCGACACAGAAGCCACCAGTTGGAAGGTCTTTCCCCAGCCGGCAAGTTTTTTTTTGTTGGTGGGGGGCGGAGGGTTGGCACAGGGCAAATGATGATTGGTTGGTTTCCATGTTCCACAAGTCAAAGGGGCCTTGGGGTCTTGCGGATTGCTTTCCATTGGTATCACAGTTGCAGCCATTGTGCAAATTATGCTTCAACCACCAGGCCCCCTGCCGCACGAAAAGGGAAGCTATCAGGAGATTCTTTCATTTGTTTAATCTTGAGGGAAGGGGGGTGGGTGGGGCGTTTTTTTGTGGCGCTGGGCTGTTTTGGGTTGTTTTTTCTAGGAGAGGGGCTGTCTTGGATGGTCTTTCCCTCGCCGGCAAGTGTTTTTTATTTGGAGGGGGAAGGGGAGGGATTGGCACAGCGCAGGCTCAGGGGTGCAAAGGGCGCAGGGGGCAGAATTGGGAGGGGGTCTGTGTGTGTGTGTGTGTCGTGCCGTGGGTTGGGCATTCGAACTACTTGGTCCGGCCATGGCAGGTGTCACGTGCAAAACAGCCCAACACAAGACCCAGAGATACTCCTCAGTGGTTTTTGTACTGGGCTCCGGGCTGGCGTTTTTCTTTGGAGGTGGCCACTTCGGCCTTTACCTGCCCTCACGGTTGACGCAGACAAGGCCACCATTACCCACATGACTTTCTCGTGGCGAAATCCAAAGCCTTTGGATGGCAACTCCCTGCAAATCACCACGTGCCCCCCGCCACCTCAGCCACCAAGGACCCAAAATAAACAAAAACAAAGAGCGGTACCTTCTCCAAAAGGAGATTCGTCTACAAATGATGGTTGCTTCGTTTCCATGTTTCTTCAGAGAAATCTCAAGTCAAAGGATGGATCCAAGCCTCCGATGCTGGTCATACAGTTGTAGCCATTGTGCAAACGATGTTTCACCAACCAGGCCCCGGCCGCATTTAAAGGAAAGCCACCAGGCGATTCTTTGCGATCTTTCCACCCTGGTCTTGTTCCACAGAGGTTCAAAAGCATGGTTGCTTCACCAGAGTTTTCTGCCTTACTTTCCATGGTTCAGTCTTCTCATGGTGGCTTTTCCCACCAATGGCTCGGTTTTGCTGTTGGTCGAGCCATGGCTCGCTCGGTTTTTGCTCGCCCCATCGAATCCAATGGCGAGGGGCTGTGCGCGGCGCTGGCCGGAGGTCTTCGTTTGCGAGGAGAAGGGGCACCAGCTTCAGGCCCTCAGGGTGGGGTGGGGGGTGGGGGGAGGGAGCATCACTGCTGGGTGAAGCATCTTGTAATCACCAAGCCCGCCAAGAAGAACCTGAGGGCCTGGGGCCTGCCTCTTCTCTCGCGCCCCCGACTCATGTTTTTGGGGCGTGTCAAGCAAGGCAACCTTAGAGTGAGCGAGCTGTCTTTTGGGGTGATGTTGCGAGGGATGGGCTCTCAAGCCGAAATTTTCCTTCGGGGCACAGGGTCTCCCCTTGAGCCTCTCTCCAAAATCCAAGCTGGAGCTTTTTGATGGGACGCCCGTTGGATCGCGCGAAAGCGGCTTGGGGCCCTGGAGACGGGGCGGGCCGGCTCTTGAAGGGGCCCTTGAAACTTGAAGCTGCCCCAAGGGACTTTGTTGGGGGGGGGGGAGGGGGTGGTTCATTTAAACCGCTTGTTCTTTCTGTTTTTTTTTTGGGGGGGTTCCCCCGAAAAAAATGTCAGAGAAGCCGAGCGGAAACGAGTCTCTGACAGGACTGGGAGCAGTGGCACTTCCAAGGGAATGCCTCCAGACAGGCTTGGATGCAGGACTTTGTTTTCTTTTTCCTTTTTTGGTTGTTTATTGGGCGGGGGGGCGGGGGGGGGGGTGGTCTGCTTCTTCTTCTTTTTTTTGAGGGGGGGGTTCTGAGTTTCTTTTTGTTTTAATCATGTTCCTTTCTTGGGATGTTTTTGGCGGGGGATCTCTCTCTTTGCTAAGTGGTGTGGCTTTGGAACCAACCACTAGCGTGCAAAAAAGGGGTCTCTCTGGATTTGTTTGCCTTGGCAAGCCGACAGCTTGGCGAAAGATCTGGCAGTCTTTTTTTTTTCCGGGGCGGGGGGTGGCTAGGGCGGACTTGGAAGAATTCTGCCCGCCTCTTTACCATGGAGACTTCTCTGGAAACTTGTAGTCACTTCTCAGTGTTTGTGTCTTTTTGGGACATCGCATCATTCTGCGTTTCAATCAGGACAATCATTAGGACCGGGGCGAAGTGCCTTTGCTTTTTCCTCCCTGGCTGCCAGCAATGAACTATGACAAGTTTAGTAGGCAAGAGCTGAGATAATTAGTGAAGGACCAGGAGGAGTCGAGGGAGAAGGGGTGACAGCTGCTTGGGTTTCCTTAAGTTTTGAGGTTTCTGCACTTTTGATTGCTTCTAAGTGGGTTTGTCTAAAAACAGGCCCCCCCGCCGACCAACAAAAAGACTGTGGTTTCAAAAAAGAAGACACGCCGTGTTAAGTCCGAAAGGCGGCGACCTTCGAGCTTGGCCAATCCGGTGATCTGGCACCGCGGGTTTGGCCCCTCCCCCCCTCCCCCCCCCCCGCCCAACCCTACCAGCTTCCCCAGTTGAGCATCCTGTTCCGAACCCCGGACAATTCAAGGGCTCACCCGACCGTACGATGACATCTCCCTTCGGGCGCCGAGCTGTCGCAAAAGAAGAAGAAGTTCGAATCCAAGTCTGGTACTCTGTGATGTTTGCACTCGGATGTCTGGATCAACCTTTGTAGAGATGTTGTTTTTTCACGTGCACAGAATTGGCAGGTCTCCCAAGCTCCACTGACTTTGACGCAGGAGCGCGGCAAGGCTTTGCGGCAGCTGATCGCTGCCCTTGGTTCGAAGACGGCTGAGCGGGAGGAGCCAAAGGCGGAGTGAGGAGCTTCGCGAGCCGCTGCCTCGGAATTGGAGCCCAACCTTTGCAGGGACGCAACCGGCGGTTCTTCTCAGCTAACTGGTGTCCGCCGGACCTTCATAAGCCCCTTCGTCGGAGCATGTTGTTGGAACCAACTAACCAACCAGTGCGCTTCTGCGCAGATGTGGAAAGCGACTGCGCACGCCGGTTTCGACCAACCAGCCTTTGAAACTGGAAGGGTAGGGTTCTGCGATAGCTTTCGGGTGATTTGAGTGCAAGAGGGCGTCCTGATTTCATCCACGCCTGAAAAGATGGAACGGAGGTGGGGGGATTTATTCTTCTTGGAAGTTCAGCTATCTTAGCTCAGTTTCTTCTGGAAGACCAAATGCACTTTGGGGACCTTGCCCCTAGCTTCCTTCTTGAAGGTGGGCAGGTGGGATCTGTCCGCGCGCAATTCGACTACCGCCTGCTCTGGCCAAAAGGCGCCAGAAGGCCTGAAACTCCGCGACCGCTGTGCAGAGATCCTGGCGGCGTAGAGCACAGTTGAAAGGGGAGGGACATAGAGGGACTCCCAAAATTTGGACACCATGGCTCACTACTTTTCACACATTTTTTCCCGTGGCTCACTCCTCAAGCGCGCGAGGGCCACAAGGCTGAAGAGTCAGAAACCTGTGCTGTTGGCGTGGGTCTCTCCCACCAATTTCACATGGAACCTGAGGGGAAAATGGACCCTTTAAAAGGAAAATGGTCCAAAGACAGGTGGTCCCATTAAAGGAAAAAATGGTCCAAACCAGGACCCCCCCAGAACGTCAGGTTCTGGCTGTAAAAAGGGTGGATAGGGTAGTCTTCATTTTGCGATCGTGAAAGCTGAGGGAACCTTCCGGGACAAGTGAAATGATTCAGTCCTCTTGGGTATGATTCGATACAATCCAGCTCATAGGTGTCCTTTTTTGGTTGTTTTGCTAGAACAATAGATGACCCTGGTTTACCTGGCGATTTCATCATCTACCAGGGATATCCATCTATTTCCCCTAAAAGGACACCTATGATCCAGCTTGTGTCCTCTGTTTGGGCCATTGGGGCATGTTCTTGTCTGCGGAATGGTGGGCGTGGTGCCTCCCGACGTGCTTTTGGTGTCGCGCAGGGTGCGGATGTTTTGACTCGCTCGCGGGGCTTTTGGCTTGATGGGTTTTCTTATCTTATATATATATATATATTATAACCAAAAAGCGACAAACACAACAACAATAGGCAAACGTAAGAGTCTGTTTTCATTCTCGTTTGCTGTTGGTTTTGTTGTCTTCCGTTTATGTGTGTTTTTCCCCCCGCGTTTTTTGGGCCATAACTTGGGGTCCCCCTCTTTTCACTTCCGGCCAAACGTGCCCCACCAAACGTGTCTGCTCCCTCCCTCGCAGGTGGGAGGCCCCTACGCAGATCTGGGCACAGGCGGGGGGATCTGTCTGGGCCCCTCGAAGTCGGCCGGGTACCCTCCCTCCAGGTGCCATGTGAGTGGGAGGGAGGGTCTGTGCTTGTGGGGCGGTGGGTGCTTCCACGCCGATCTTTTTGGAAACTACTTCCTCCTTATTGGTCGAAGCTGGCCAATCTGTTCTGCAAGTAGATAGTCCGTATTGGGCTCGAAGGACCGTACAACTGGTGCATGGGGAAAAGCCAAGTACAGAGCTGCTCGGCGTAGAGCATGCAAGGCGATGTGTTGCGAGAGGATATGTTTTGAATTATTTAAGATGTTTGGTGGGAGGCATGCATTTCCATTCTGCTTGATGTTCCGGGAAGGCCTCAAACATGTGCCCGCGCCGTCAGCTAAGCCTTTGTGTGGGGCGAACTGCCTTTGCGTTGGCAAGCACGCCGTAACACCTGCGGCCCACATAGCCGTGTTCCACTTGGTTCGTGTAGCCCTAGCTTTTGCTCCGCCCCAAAGCTCCCGTGGCCTTCGCTTAGCCTTCAGATTGAACACCCTGAAAGCACATGGCCATGGTTCAAAACCAATGGGATCCCATTTTGGGATAGGTGCACCACCCACTTTCGTTTATTCTAGTGGGGATTGGGATGTTCACTAGGGGTACGGTGTTTTGACCCATGGCCACATAGCTCACCCGAGGTCCCTCTATTCCTGGTCAACCCAAGCTTCGGCCGAGAGGAAGACACCCAAACCCTTGGCCTGGCTCCCTTTTTTTGCGTGGCAACCAGTGCGAAGTTTGTGCCTTTGGCTGCGGATGAACGCTCCAGCAGCTTTTTGGAGCCACCGTCTTGTAGCGGCCGAAGATCGCAGTGTCTCGTGTTGCTAGTTGCGGAGTAGGACAATTGAGCGCGCGAGTGTTCGTTGATGTCAATTAACCACATCATATCCTGTTACGTGGTGTTTCTTTGTCGACTTTTGTCGCTAGATGCGCTGGCGCTGGAATCCTGCGTTGACGCAGGCCGGGGTTGGGGATCGCAGTCATTGGCCCACCGGGTCTAGCATTTCTAGGATGGTTTGTTCCCTTGGCCCTACAGCGCAAGTCACGGCTTGAGGACGCTATTGGCAGAGCATCCCTGCCTTTCTTTTTCTCTTGGTCCAATGTGCTTTGCAGGGTGCGGTTCAAGTGTGATCGGTGCACAGCTACATTAGCGTTTCCAAAAGCAGGGGACCACCAAGCATGATTTGGCTTCCGCTCGGGTGTCCTTCACTTGCAATTCCAAAGCGGTTTCCCAATGGTTGCTTTGCCGCACCGGGGCTTGCAAGCATGCTAGCTGCTATCTCGGGTCATCTTTTTGCCTTGAAGCAGAGAGGCACATTGGGCTTCCTGAACTTGGTACCTCGCAATTCCGACTTTTCCCAAGAAGTTTATAAACTTTTTGGTAAGTCTCAAGAAGGAAGCTTGCCTCTCCAGGTTGGTGGTTGTCAAGAAGTTACCCGGACTCCCCAAAATTGGCAGCCTAACAGGAGCAGCTTCTGGGCCCCCGTGGCTGGATGTGTCTCACCGATCCCATTGTGGGAGTTGCCGAAAGAACTCGCTCCCTGAGTTCCCCGGACTTTAACTAAGCCTTTTGGGAAGCCCATTTTAGTGGCAAATCAAAGGCATGGCGCTGTGTTTGGATTAATCCACTCACTTCCATCTGTTGAAATGAATATGTTCTTTGAGTGTTCCTTGGTTCTTAAAGGAAATCGATTTCACTGCTGGACGAAGATGTTCTCATTTTTTCCTGGCGGCTTCCGCGGAAGTGAGGAGATCACGGCGCACCTTCCCCCCCCCACCCCCGGTTCTCAGCCAGGTGCGGCTCTGGCCAGCGCCCGGCTGCTGGAGAGTCTGGCCAGGTTGGGCCAGCAGCGCGCTTTGGCGCCAATCGAGTAAGGCATGCTGTGGATGGACGAAATCCATTTCGCGCCACTTAAGAAGCCCAGCGAAACTCCCCATAAATGCGAATGAACAGCGGCTTCAACCATGGTTTTAAAGTGGTGCAGGATTTCGTCCATCCACAGTAGGCGTCCTTGTTGGGTTGTTTGGCAGTGATAAATAGAGGGCGATTCTTGGTTTACCTGGTGGTTCAACCTACCAGGGCCAACTATTTCCCAAAAAGGACACCTGTGAGAGTAGTAGGGGTTTCAATCGGAAAACGCGGGCGCGGCAGTTTGAGGGGGTTCGAGGGGAATCAATCACTGTTCGTTTAACATTCAAGCAGACCCAAGAAAACAACTGTGGAAATGGCCAGTTCGAATGCATGTGAGTTGCTGCTTGGAATTGCTTGGGGTGGTTTCCTTGAAACCAATTTGGCCGCGACCTGATGTGGGCCCCAAAACTTCGACACAGGCGGCGGCGCCTGCGCTCCCCATGGGTTTGGGCAGGAGTTGATTTCACAGCCCTTGCCCCGGAAGAGCCAGGTGGAGCCTCGGCTGCCGCAGGAGGTTTCTGTTGGCTGGTCCCGCTATTTCACCAGCCAAAGTCGCCCTCCAGGTGGTAGGTTAAAAAAACTTCAGGAAACCACCCCAGGTTCTGGCTTTGATGGCCCCAGAATCTGTCAAAATCATGATCCCGGTTTGATGGGGCGATGATTTTGGCAGGGATTTTCGGCTGAAGCCCTGCGGAGTTTCCGGCACTTCTGCCATTCTCCAGCTGGAAGTTGTTGGCAGGTCGGGCGAGCGCTTGTTGCAAGACGAGGTTCGGCGGGCGCGAGGCTTTGAAGTCATTCCTTCCTCAAAATGGGAGCGAGTGAGGCATTTCCTCCTGAATGTAACAATGTATTGTATCCCACCTTGGCGCGGGGGTTCCTGGTCAATTTGGGATTCACTTGCATGCCATGGGTAGGCAAGCTTCCTCTCGGAGAACCTTAGCAGGTAGGCGCAATGCCAAGACCGTTGCCAACGTTGGCAGTGCCGCGGAGGGTGGGTTTCCCTGATAATGTGATTGGCGGATATTGGATTTTGTCTTAGAGCCACCCATTTGCGGAGGTCATGTGGGTGGTCAAAGTATCATGTATCAGCGCTCAGGCCAGGTTCAAGGTATCCCTCGCACCCGGGCTAGATAGTATATCCTGATGGCTGGTTGATTGATTGGTTGGTTGGTCGGTCCGTTCGTGGGTCGGTCCGTTCGTCGGTCGGTCGATCAATGGTTGGCCGGGTGGTTGGGTGGTTGGTCGCTCCATCGTTGTCTTTTCTTCTTTTCTGCTTTCTTTGCGCTGAATGTGCACAATTCAGATGTGCAGAAAGACCCTTGCAGAAGGACCCTTGCAGGAATCGAGACAAGAGTAGCCACCAGTTTCGGGATGAGGACGCTTCTAGCGAAACTGTTGCCAGCCGTGGTCCTTGCAGCACCCTTGCATCACCCGCCCCAACTAACCAAAAACGCAGGGAACCGCTGTGTTACAGAAAGGTGTTCGGATTGAACAGGACCGAAAACATCACTGGTCTTGGGCGGTGTGTATGGCTTTGTCTCAAAATTTGGAACACCCCCGTTTTTGTTTCTTCTCGTTTTTTCTTTGTTCTTCTTTCTTCTTTTTGTTTTGTGTTTTCCTTGAAAAGCACAAGGTT